AAAAAAGCAGCTCCCGGCAGGAAAACACCATGGCTCTGAAGGACGAACTAGTTCCAAAACCACGCCAAAAAAGTACCTAACGTCCCGTCTGAAATCCTAGAAAAACAACCTTTTTCGAGAATTTCTGTTGCCTGCGGCCGCTCGCAGGAAAACAACTTCGAAAAAAGCAGCTCCCGGCAGGAAAACACCATGGCTCTGAAGGGCGAACTAGTTCCAAAACCACGCCAAAAAAGTGCCTAACGTCCCGTCTGAAATCCTAGAAAAACAACCTTTTTCGAGAATTTCTGTTGCCTGCGCCTGCTCGCAGGAAAACAACTTCGAAAAAAACATAAAAGCAGCTCCCGGCAGGAAAACACCATGGCTCTGAAGGACGAACTAGTTCCAAAACCACGCCAAAAAAGTGCCTAACGTCTCTTCTGAAATCCTAGAAAAACAACATAAAACAACATAGAAAAACAACATAAAACAACATAAAACAACATAAAACAACATAAAACAACCTTTTTCGAGAATTTCTGTTGCCTGCGGCCGCTCGCAGGAAAACAACTTCGAAAAAAGCAGCTCCCGGCAGGAAAACACCATGGCTCTGAAGGACGAACTAGTTCCAAAACCACGCCAAAAAAGTGCCTAACGTCCCGTCTGAAATCCTAGAAAAACAACATTTTTCGAGAATTTCTGTTGCCTGCGCCCGCTCGCAGGAAAACAACTTCGAAAAAAACATAAAAGCAGCTCCCGGCAGGAAAACACCATGGCTCTGAAGGACGAACTAGTTCCAAAACCACGCCAAAAAAGTGCCTAACGTCCCTTCTGAAATCCTAGAAAAACAACCTTTTTCCGAAAACAACTTCGAAAAAAGCATAAAAGCAGCTCCCGGCAGGAAAACACCATGGCTCTGAAGGACGAACAACCTTTTTCGCAGGAAAACAACTTCGAAAAAAGCAGCTCCCGGCAGGAAAACACCATGGCTCAGAAGGACGAGCTAGTTCCAAAACCACGCCAAAAAAGTGCCTAACGTCCCGTCTGAAATCCTAGAAAAACAACCTTTTTCGAGAATTTCTGTTGCCTGCGGCCGCTCGCAGGAAAACAACTGCGAAAAAAGCAGCTCCCGGCAGGAAAACACCATGGCTCTGAAGGACGAACTAGTTCCAAAACCACGCCAAAAAAGTACCTAACGTCCCGTCTGACATCCTAGAAAAACAACCTAACGTCCCGTCTGAAATCCTAGAAAAACAACCTTTTTCGAGAATTTCTGTTGCCTGCGGCCGCTCGCAGGAAAACAACTGCGAAAAAAGCAGCTCCCGGCAGGAAAACACCATGGCTCTGAAGGACGAACTAGTTCCAAAACCACGCCAAAAAAGTACCTAACGTCCCGTCTGAAATCCTAGAAAAACAACATTTTTCGAGAATTTCTGTTGCCTGCGGCCGCTCGCAGGAAAACAACTTCGAAAAAAGCAGCTCCCGGCAGGAAAACACCATGGCTCTGAAGGACGAACTAGTTCCAAAACCACGCCAAAAAAGTGCCTAACGTCCCGTCTGAAATCCTAGAAAAACAACCTTTTTCGAGAATTTCTGTTGCCTGCGCCCGCTCGCAGGAAAACAACTTCGAAAAAAACATAAAAGCAGCGCCCGGCAGGAAAACACCATGGCTCTGAAGGACGAACTAGTTCCAAAACCACGCCAAAAAAGTGCCTAACGTCCCTTCTGAAATCTTAGAAAAACAACATAAAACAACATAAAACAACCTTTTTCGAGAATTTCTGTTGCCTGCGGCCGCTCGCAGGAAAACAACTTCGAAAAAAGCAGCTCCCGGCAGGAAAACACCATGGCTCTGAAGGACGAACTAGTTCCAAAACCACGCCAAAAAAGTGCCTAACGTCCCGTCTGAAATCCTAGAAAAACAACATTTTTCGAGAATTTCTGTTGCCTGCGCCCGCTCGCAGGAAAACAACTTCGAAAAAAACATAAAAGCAGCTCCCGGCAGGAAAACACCATGGCTCTGAAGGACGAACTAGTTCCAAAACCACGCCAAAAAAGTGCCTAACGTCCCTTCTGAAATCCTAGAAAAACAACCTTTTTCCGAAAACAACTTCGAAAAAAGCATAAAAGCAGCTCCCGGCAGGAAAACACCATGGCTCTGAAGGACGAACTAGTTCCAAAACCACGCCAAAAAAGTGCCTAACGTCCCTTCTGAAATCCTAGAGAATCCTAGATCTAGATCTCTAGATCTATCCTAGATTCCTAGATCTAGATCTAGATCCTAGTTCGGGAATCCTTGCTAGGCCAGCTGCTTCGGCCGAATCCCCCAGAATCTCCTAAACAATATTACAGCTAGGCCTGCTGTTTCGAAGCGGTTCCGAAACAGCAAAACACCACCTAATTTCGTGCCGAAAATAACGAAAAATCGCGGCAGAAAACTACCTAACGTCCCTTCTGAAATCCTAGAGAATCCTAGATCTAGATCCAGATCCTAGATCTAGATCCAGATCCTAGTTTAGATCCTAGTTCGAGAATCCTAGCTGGGCCAGCCGTTTCAGCCGAATCCCTCAGAATCTCCGGTAGCTAGGCCAGCTGTTTCGGCCGAATCCCTAGAATCGCCTAAACAATATTACAGAAACCTGCCTAACGTCCCTTCTGAAATCCTAGAGAATCCTAGATCTAGATCCTAGTTTAGATCCTACTTCGAGAATCCTAGCTGGGCCAACTGTTTCAGCCGAATCCCCCAGAATCTCCGGTAGCTGGGCCAGCTGTTTCGGCCGAATCCCCCAGAATCGCCTAAACAATATTATGGCTGGGCCTACTGTTTCGAAACGCTTCCGAAACAGCAAAACACCACCTAATTTCCATCTTCTTCCCTTACGCGCTCCCCCTTGCGTCGGCCGGGGTCGGCGGATATATGTAGATTATTTCTAATGTATATATATATATATACACTTCATTATCGAGATTGTTATTGTCATTGAACATGTACATGTATCTGTAGTATATGTATACATGTATATGATATGTGTATCTGTATATGACTGTTTATGTATACAAATATATGCACATATACGTATATATAAGTGTATGTACTGGGGCTCCTCGAAGATCCTCAAAGCTAGTGCAATTGTTCAAGGAGAAGCTTCAATCTATGTACAAGGCGGAGAAACCTGGCCAGCCGCTTCTGTTTTTCTCCATGCTATGCAGTCCAAAACCAAAGCATCACCATCACCGAGCTTATCCTGACATCTTTCGTCATCTTTGGTCTTGACCTGTGATTTGCATTGATTTGCTGTAAAAGTCTGTGCTGGAGTATGGGCTGGATGCGGGGGTATGGAAACTCAAATTCCTTTTGGCCCTTTAACCTGGAAGGAAAGCCCAATCGTTCTGCTATCCGAGTCTTTGCCTGGAGGCGAGGTTGATTGGCTCTTGGTGACGCCAAGTATTTTGAACATTCGATCGGCACTTGGAGTCTTTTGTCGAAGGTGAGCCGTTGGCTTCTGCAGCATCATTGAAGCTCAGGCAGGGGTTTGAAGCTTCAGGGTGTGGCAAAATGCAGAACTTTTGATTTCCCTTTTGTGGCTAAAACTGGTTTGTGCAGACAATTCCGGCAATCCTTCGCAGCTCGACTTCCCGCAGGAGCCGAGAGTTTCTCGCACTTCATTGCTTTCTCACTAATTCACTTCTGTCCCTGGATGTGGTGTATGTCACGTATGTCGTATGTCATGTATTTGCAGGACCTACAAAGTGAGGTGACCTTAATCACGCAGCACGTGTGACTTGCCCTTGGCATTCCAACAAAAAGATGTCTTCACAACTGCCTGGCCCTGCACCAAACATCTTCCATTGATGAATAATATTTGCTTGGCGACTTATCCGACGGGTGTCCAGACGACTTCGTGCCATGATTTGAGCCGTCCCTGTTTTCCTTTTCAAGACACAATGTGATTATCTTATTTTGATACATGTACACAGTGATTTACATAGATTCATGGAATTCCTCACTGCCAACACTACTCCTTTTAAGTCACACGCACAAAGGAAATGCCAACAGCAGAGTAGGTCGAGCAGCTTCCACCGCATCTTCTTATCTTCCCAGCATCCGTAGCGGCCGCAGCGCGATGGCCTTGTCAGCGCTGATTGGCTCTGCGATTTCAGAGGTTTGGCTTCATTAGGCCCTAATATTGACATATATTGACTACCTCGCAAACGAAACACTGTTTTTTTTAAATAGGGATCTGTTCATTTCCCATTCATTTTCAATTCAAGATCACTTCGCACGAGCTCGCTGCTCCAGGATCGTTTGCGGACTCAGCGATGTACGGCTGCAGCCTTGAATCTCTTGCAGAGATTGCCCCCCAAGGAGCGAAGTGCGAAGTAGGGCAAGACGATCCCACAATGGCAGTCGTTTGGAGCACTTTTTTGGGTGACTTCAGTGACTTCACAATGCTTGGCATTTTTTGGGGCTCATCCTTGGTTTTTCCCTGGGTTTTTCCGGGATGGCACGACAGGACCTGGAAACAGACTTGGAAGCTTTGATTGGAATTGCTCCAGAGCTGGACCGCTGCGAGCTTTGTTGAAGTTGATCAAATCATTGGACCTGGGCAGCCTGGGTGACCCCAACTTTGTGTGGCCACCAGTGGCCACCAGGTTGATTTCCCGTTTCATGTTGTGAAATATCCACGAAACCAAAGGCCGCTAATATTTGGCTCGCAGATCCAAATACATCAGACAAAGGCAATGAACAATTTGCGAAACAATTGACTTGCTGATTTTATTTTGTTATCTTGACAGAAGCAGATGCATGCTCCAAGCTGCAGTACAGTTTGACAACCATCCTCTAGATTGCTGAGCTACTAGTTTTACTCCATGCGCCAAATGGTGAGTTTAAAACTCTGTTTTGACACTCACAATTTAAAACTCTGTTTTGACACTCACAATTAGCCGACGATTGACCTCATGTGCGAAGCTTATATCCCACTCGTGGAACTTTCATAGGCTTCTGCAGAATTTGAGCGCTAATGCAGAGCGCCTCATCTTCCTCTGGAACGCAGAGATCTGCAAAAGCCCAGAAGTTTCATCGATTGTGACTCTGATTCACTGGCGCAACATTGTTCAGATAAGAAGACACACATATTCTGACATAGGTCCCTGTACAACAAGTTTATGGCTTCTGACCTTTTCTTTTTTTGTGAAAGGGGATGGTGATGACAGAGATACAGTATGATACAGTGTGCCAATAGAACGATGAAGCGAGGGAAGCAAATGCAGAGCAAACATGGTCAATATCCAGAAGACTTTGATATATATATATATATATACATACACACTTACATATCTACATGTACATATCATGTATCATCCTGCATTTGTGTTGCCTTTGTGGTGCCTGTTGCAAGGCTATCCTTGCCCACTGTTGACCTGGCAGCTCTACGGGAACTTCTTTGGTCTGGAGCACCAGAAGAAGATCCCAAGGTCCGAGCGGAGTCATGGCAGATGTTGCTGGGCTATTTGCCGCCTGTCAAGGACCGGCAGCCTTCGGGTCTGCAGAAGAAGAGAGAGGAGTATGAAGAACTTCGAAGGAGGCATTATTTGCCGGTAGAAGCCGAAGCTCCCAGCATTGATGTCGATGCAGCTGGTATCCTTCGTCAGATTCGACTTGACATTCCAAGAACATCGCCTGGCTTACCAATCTTTAGCCACCAACGGATACAACAACTGCTGGAACGAATCCTGTTCATTTGGTCCGTGCGTCATCCGGCAAGTGGTTATGTTCAAGGAATCAATGACCTTGCAACGCCTTTTGTCGTTGTCCTGCTGGCTTCTGAACTTGATTGCTTGCCTGAGGAGATCGATGTGGATGCCGCTGGCGACGATGCTTTTGAGGCTGTAGAAGCTGGGTCATACTGGTGTCTCACCAAATTCCTGAGTGATATTCAAGACCATTACACAAATGGTCAACCCGGGATTCAGCAGATGGTGGCCAAACTCCGAGAGATAGTTCATCGGATCGACCAGAAGCTCTACGATCATTTGGAAGAGCAAGGTCTTGATTTCCTGCAGCTTTCCTTCAGATGGATGAACTGCCTTCTGCTGAGAGAATTCCCCTTTCCTTGCGTAATCCGGCTGTGGGACACCTACATTTCGGAGCCTTTGGAAGGGTTCTCATCATTTCATGTTTACGTCATGACCTCAGTGCAACTTGATTCGAGCACGGGTACAGCAGAGATTGCAGATCGAAACAACCCAGTGGTTGGTATGTCATAGTACGTTCCTTTCTGTCTCTCCTTCTTCATGGTTTTTCTATGTGTTTCATTCTGGCCATGTACTGTTTCAGCCTTGTTCATCATCTTAAATCCATTTCAAGACTCTGCCGAAACATTGCAGGTTTGTGCTGTATTTCTGATCTACTGGTCCCCACAGCTGAAACAAATGGATTATCAGCAGCTGATGCTCTTTATGCAGAAATTGCCCACTGGAAGATGGCGAAACCAAGAGATCGAGCCATCACAGCACTGATGACTGTGGTTCCCGAAAAGTTCCAGAGCCCAGAAATGTGGGTCGTGAAAAGTGAGGTATATAGTATTATATAGTGATGTTTACAGGCTTCTACAGAGTCTAGTTGGCCTAAATCTAGTAATGCGATGCCATGACATGTGTTGCCATGCTAATCATGCTATGCCTGACTTCACTGTGCAACTAAGGAAACTCTCTTGGCTGAGGCCTTCGTCCTGAAGAGCCTGTTTCATTCTTCTCCCAATCATTTGAATCCAAGATAACCCAGGAATCCCAAGATCCAAGAAGCTCAGCTCGCACAAAAGCACAGGCAGCACAGGTATCAGATGTATCAGCATCTTGGATGTGCCTTTTTGCTGCTTCAGTACTCTTCAGTGTGTCTCGTAGATGTAGATTGCAAGTTCTAAGGAATGCTTGGTGAATCTGAGAGCTAGAAAGCGACAACTGAGCACCAAGAGTTGGATTACGCAAGCTTTGGTTTATCAGAAGTCTCAACTTGCTGTAGGTGCTCAGTCAATCATATCCTTGGGCAAGACCCGATAAGTCTTGCTATCCCTTCTCGTGCAGTGCAGTGTGCGCCTAGTCGCTGCTGAGATGAGCGTTGTGTAGAAAGGCAGAACTCAGCACGGCTCGTCTACAATGCAGTCCAAAAAAGTTAGTTTGCTGTGGTGCTAGAGAGGATTGTTTTGTGCAACCAATCTTCAAAGGCATCAGACATCAATCAATCAACCAATCAATCAATCAATCGAACAATCAATCATACAATCAATCAGATGACAATTGACTGTAGAAGGGGCTGGCCAGAGAATCTCCTTACTGCCTGGTCTCAGTAGGTGCGACTTCAAGGAGGGACAGTGCTTGGAGTTTCCACTTAAAGAGTTCAGACTGAGAGATGTTTGGACAGTTTGAACTACTCAAAACATCTACTTTTCAGCCTACAGCAGGTGTTGACGAGGAATTGTAGGATACCGTTGTCAGGTGTGTACTCTATCCCCGAATCTTGGTCGTTGTTTGAATTCGACCTATTCGCATTTTATTCGGAAAAAGGTTTAAGCACACCCTCCAGAAATGTCGAGTGAAACGCTCAGTTTTTGTTTTGTGACGATCTTCAGGAGCAAGGACTGGCTCCATACGTTGCTCGCCCCTTAAGAGTGAAAGAAGATCTGAAGGCCAACAGGTCACTTGTTTGCATATATTATATAGTTGATATGTTCTGGCTGGTGAACACAGAATCAAAGGAGCAGATGGCCTGTTGTGCATTTCTCAGTGGAAGGTGTGTCTCCACGCCAGGTACTTTATTGCTTGTGAGTACAACTGCGATGCAGGCAAGTTTGATGACTTGCGATCTTTGGTGTGAAAGCTTGATCTGCCAAACATGGACTGCACCTCCATTGGCAATGGCTTGTCGCTCAATCTGGGCAAAGGTTCACACAGATCTCCCTGGACAGACAGGCGCCGCGTTTGCTTTTGCAGTGGTTGCATGACAGACAATGGCTTTCAAAATCAGAACTGCACAGCCATTGGATCATTCGGAATCATTCGATCACATTGTCTTTGCTGAGATACATCCCTGCACCTCCTGGTGGCGATGCGGAAGAGGTGCTTCAAAGTCTTCCTCTCTCATTGAAAAATTATCAACAGGATATAACATTTATATATTATAAAAGGATATAAAAGGATCAAGTGATTTGGTCTGCAGGAAAAACTGTTCCGACCATCAGCACGACTTGGACGCTTGGAACAAGCCTTCAACGAGGCAATTGCGAACGGTCAATTCAGCTGGTGTCTTTTCCAACCTTTTGCGTGGCAGGTGTTTCAAGCCTATGCCACCAGCTACTATGAGGACTGTATCCCATTGAAGATATGCCATGGCAAGGGGGTCAAGAGAGAGATGGGCCCCAGATCTTTGATTGCACTTGCATGATGCGAAACATCATATGATGTTTGTGTACAGAAATGGGTCTGTAAACAACGGTGCACATATGATATATGATATGATATGATATGAACGGATAGGATGATAGCATGCCACACCATATCATATTATATCAAATCATAATCATAATAATAATCATATTCATAATCATATCTTATATATGTGTATTATGTATTATGTATTATGCATTTTGTATTATGCATTATGCATTATGCATTATGTATTATGTATTATGTATTATGCATGCAATGCAATGCGATGCAATGAAATGAAATGACATGAAATGAAATGACATGAAATGTATGTATGTTTGTATATTTGTATCTTGACCTCTGCACTCTGCACGTCTTTGTTATGCATGTCTTCCATTTTGCATTGCGAGGGCAGCGTTTCTTCCGTGTACCTTTGGGACCTTGAAGAGGCACTGAGATGTAGCTGACCAATGAATGTTGGTGCCATGTGGCGACTGTCAGCTGTTTTGGAAAAAGTAGCTTGTGCACCAGTGCAACCTGAGGGCTATGCGGGAGCTTTCTTGATTCGCAAGGAGCTTCCAAAGATCTTCTGCACAATCCTGAGAAATACACTCAAAGCAAGGGTCAGGGGCCAGATGTTAATATATTCCGAGGTGATGGAAAGTCAGGAGTTTGGGATGCCGTTCACATAGTGGAGGTGCTATACTGAGCTTGCGGACGTTTCATAGCCTATCCTGAAGAGCCCCTTGACCGAGGTGAGAGATTCATCGAACTCCAACTATGTGGACTTCAAGCTGTCAAGCACAATTGTTTTGAATGTACAGGCCTACCTCTGTTCGTCAGCTTTGCACTTTCTCATCATGCTGCTCTCGTTTCTTAAGTTGCAAATTCTACATATGGAGAGCACAAATGCAACTGCTTCTTCGCGCTTCTTCCTGAAAGGTCTCTCCAAAAGGTGAGCAGACAGAGCTCTCTGCGCATTTGACCCGACAGGACTGCGCACAGTAGTTTCATACATATGCTGCAATGTAGCAACAACGTAACGGGTGCTGAGCTGTGGCCAAGAGTCCTTGCGCCAGCAGATTCAGGCCGAATCCCGGCTTGACCGCAGAAAGAAATCTGGAGAGGAGATATTGATGCCATATGATGCTATGGAATTGTGCTGCTGTTTTATTTGGATCCAATCTGATGCTTCTTAGCTATCCGTGGACACGATGAGCTGATCCGGCGATCAGGATGCACAAATCATGCAAGTTGGCTCGATGATCGAGGACATCCTTGAAACATCTTGAAACCATTTCCTATACGACTTCCTGTACTTCAAGCAATCCACGCATGAACCTTTGAGGACAATGAGAATTTCCTCCGCCGTAATCTAGAATGTATACACATTGCTGCAGCCCCGGGGAAGGGAAATTGCACGAGCTCGCCTGAGATTCAACAAGATTCCATGGCCCCAGAGCCTCTGAGGCAAAGCAGCACTCCATCCTGGACTCCATGAGAATTCTGAGGTGCGGCAGTCCTTACGATGCAGTCGGATGCATCACAATGCAGTGCTGCAGTGCGTCGAAAACGAAATCCGTCGAAATCTGTCCCTTTCAGCCAGGGATTCAGCCCCTTCGTCTGTCGCTGCGGAGCTGAAGGGTGCAATGGGTGCAATGCCGGTTTCAAGCAAAGCTCCAGGCCAGGCTTGATATCGCAGGATGTGGCCACTGATGGCCATTATATATAGTGTTTTTTTGAGTCTTTGGGATCCTTTAGGTACATATATATATATATATATACATACATATATATATATACATATATATATATACATATATATATATACATATATATATATATACATATATATATATACATATATATATATCTATAACATATACTACAGAAAAAAACTGTTGTGTTATTGTGGTGCCACTGCAACCCCTGAACTTTTGAAGCCCAGTTGGTTGCAGAGGTGCTGGTGCTCAGCGAAGTGCGGAAGTCCAAGGAGACTGAGGTAAAAAGAGAGTACGGCATTGCCGCTGCCTGACAGACACCCAATTGGGCAGAAAACATGGGATCTATTGATGTTTACTGAGAGGTAGCGGTGGGTTTAACCAACAGCTGGGAACAACGGGGGTCACTGGGATCACCGAAAAACCGCTGTTCCTGTTGCTTCACGTCACATGAATCAGCGGCCTGGGGCCCGTCAGCAGCCAAATTTCGTCCAAACACCACACAAAACGACCGGAGTCGAAAAGCCTCTGGCAAGCCACTATGGTAACCTGGTATTGAACATGTGGACCTCAAACGAAGCAAAATTTTAGCAGGTGTGCAGCACAGTCAATCACGCACGTCACAAAATGACAGCCTAGTTCCAAACATTCCAAGACTCATCGCGCAGAAAATGTCCTGATGCTGGACCTTCATAGTGATGGCTCTTTGCCGCGCCGAACCAGGCTGACAAACTTCATGACAAGATCCTTTTGCGCCTTGAAACGGGGGTGACCACCATTCCTTCCATTCCCGAAGGTCATGGTCACCAGATTTATCCAGAAGATATCAGGTGGGCTGAAGCTGGACAGGCTGGACCTCAATGTCATTTGTTTCAGGTTGTTTCCATCTCGTAGGAGCTACTGGATGAAGATGAGGAGGAAAGCGAAGCATCTTGGCTCATGTTGGCTCTGAATCCCGGGCATCAAACGTAATTTTAAAACCTCAGCGAATTGAATGTCAACGCATAATAACAAAGGCTCCTTTGGAAAGGCATGTGTGTGGGTCATCATGCAAGGAAGCCAAAGATGCTATTTGTCCAAATTCTTTCCCTTGCTATTTGAAGATAATTTTGATGCGTTTATTTGCCTTTATCTTGAATTGATGTGACAAGAAACGCGAAGCCTTGCTATTGCTATTGGGGTTGTATGCTGGGCTAATTCGAGATAATTTTGATGCGCAACGTTGATCCAACATTGATCCAAAACCTCTACCATTGCCAGATGATCTTGCTGCAACTCACCTGCAGGTCTTGTTCGATGCGTGTCGCTTCCCCAGGCCGCATGGATCGATCTCGATGCTGTGTTATGCTGTGATGGATGTGATGCGCATGGGCAGGCCAACTGGTGACCTGTTGGATTGCATCCTTGGAGAAGAGCAAACTCCTGAGATTCCTGAGATTTGTGCTTGGGGCAGCTGTAGTCTTCGGAAATGCAGTACTTTGAGTATCTTTGAGTCGTCCTTTTCGTTTAATTTCACACGTTTGATGACAGGCCTTGGCAGAATGCAGAGACAAGCGATGGGTGCGCTTCTCAATCTTTAGAGCAAGTACACCTCAAGACACCCACCCAAAATACCCTCAACATCCCTCAACTAAATGTGATTAGTTCTGATCAGAGAAGGTTTCGGAGCTCCACAACCACAAACACAACTCTCCATGTTTCCCGTGCTTTGAACCGGTTGCAAACATTTCTGTGTCCTCCCTGAGTTTCATTTTGCAGGTGTAAAGTTCGCATCGTTGGCGATGCCTCAGCCAGTACCCAAGATGTTGGATCTTGGCGGATTCTAATCCAAGCTCTTTGGTATAAAAGTTGATCCAAAATCAAAGACGGACAAAGACTATGAGATCCAAGGCCTTGAAGAGGCTCTTTGAATTGCCACTGCAAGCAGCAGGGGAGGCAGCGCTTGCGAGCTTTCCAACCTCTAGGAGTTCAAGCTTTGCATGGACCATTGACATGGAGCACTTGGTGTCGTCATTCGTTCATAACTGACTTTCTTTCTCCAAGACAGGCCTTGTGTTTACATCGAGTTGGAGACTGCTTAGCGATGTTCTCGGATTTCTGACAGCAAGAAATTCTTTGGATGCAGTTCAACCTGTCATAGATACGCAGCTGGCAACATCGTCCGAGTACCGTAAACCTTACTATGCTTGGAGGTCTTATGAATCCTCGTGCATCTCAGGTGGTGCTAAATGCACCAAACCATCCGCTCGAGGAAGCAGAGGCTGCAGAATGAGTTGTGCTTCATTTGAAGGTGATTGAATTTATGGCATCACATGAGCCAACTCAGCTAAGTCAGCTAAGTCAGCCAAGTGCCATTCTGTGGCCATTCTGTGGCCATTCTGTGGCTTAAGGACTTGGGACCTCTGGGCCAAGGTTCACCAAGGCAGGTGAACCCATGAGAAAGGCAGATATTTTCGATGCATCTTCCACTCGGCTTTCAACGTTCAGGTCCCCACGGGTCAGTCCGCGGGTGAGTCCTCCACGTTGCTCCGTGCCTTGGCTTCGCATGCCGCGACTCGCAAAGGTACATATGACCTTTGACGCTTCGCCTTACGCTTCGCTATTCGAAGCATGGCTGGTGTTGACTCTGTTGACTCTGTTGACTCTGTTGACTCTGTTGACTCTTCTCACACCCAAGCGTTTGGAGTTTGGAGTTTGATATTTTAGAGGTACAAGTTGATGGTGACATGGTGCGGATATTTCCAGTGGTCGAGACGGCCGAGCCGGTTCAGAGCTCAGTGCTGTGATGTGGTTGTGGTCAAGGTGGTCGAAATGGTCGAAGTGGTCGAAGTGGTCCCAGGTGGCTGAGATGGGCGAGATGAATCTGGGAACAGCTCCGACTGCATCGTGTTGCGAATGGCGAGTCGCCCGAAGCAAACTGCGAAGACAGGGATTCCATGCGTTCCGAAGCATTTTCTGGTGTTCTCAACAGCCAAGCAGCCAAAGAAACAAATCTTGCTGCCTTGGCATGCCTTGACTAGTTTCATTGCAAGGTTCGTGAAGGGCTCTCGCTTATGGCAACTGTCCCACGACAGATGAGTTCAGGCACGCAGAGAGTCTTATATTGCCGGGGTACTTTGCATGTTTCATTTTCAATTCATATGCATTTATCTTGATTGGTTTATGGCAAGAAACATGCTGAGAGCAGAAAGCAGACGGCTGAAAACAAGCACTCGCTCTGGAGGTGAAAGTGGCCTTGCAGATCTCAGGCACTTGCTGACGCGATTTGCACAGACGATTCTCAACATTCTCAAGTGTCAAATCCCAAAAGAAGAACTCAGCACGTGATCTTCCAATGTCTTCCAATGTGTTACCATGGATACATCCTTGCAGTAGAAGCTCACAGCTGCGGCTTCTTGATACGCCATCCTGGTCAAACTCTGTGATCTCCTCAGACTGGCTGCGTTGCTTTTCCTCGGGGCCAAGATGGTACCATTCAGATTCAGCAGAGCACAGTTTTTCAGCACGAATCCATCGCAGGTGAACACAGTGCTCACTTTCGACAAAGTTGGAGGCCGGACAAAGTATGACTTGTTGTGTGACAAAGTGGGTTCAACTTCTTTGGAAGTGTGAACTGCAGTGGTTTGTAGGCTCATGTGGACTCTTGAGGAATCCAACCAATGTCGTCCACTGTCGTTCCAAGCGTGGCAGAAGTTAGACTTTTCCCATTTCCCTTTGAAGGTAGCCTAGTCTTGCCAACCAGCATGGCAATGTCGCGGCCGTCGCTGCCAGAATATCACAGAAGAGTCACAGAGGACCTGTTTGCGACTTCAATTTGAGCAGGTCTTCCAAGCAAAGAACATGCTTCCAAATGCATTCAAATCACAAATCTGGCCACACTCACGCGAACGCTTCCAGGACAAGACAGCAGTTCTGGTAGTCGAGGCCTTGGCAGGTCATCGGCAGATACTTCTTAGTCAGACACCAGAGGCCCAGCAATACTCCAAAAGCGCTTAATGGAGACACAGATGTGGATGACGCGAAGCAGAAGCTTGCGACAGCTTAGGTGCCTTTAAACTCTCCACTAGAAACTCGAACCCTGATTGATTCCTGGCTTTCGCGAGGCACTCAGAGAAACTCAGTATGATCAATCGCCACCAAAAAAAGACGCTTGAGGCTTTCAAAGCAGTCCCAGCATACCGATCCCTCCTATGTGCAGGGCCAGACTCAAAGCTTGCGTGCTGTCAATGCTTTATCAAGGTGCTGCCTCTACGGTTCCCCATCGCTGCTGTGCTTCTTTGCCTTGCTCTCATGTGATTTTTTTAATTTTTGAATGGAGGTTGAGAGACTCAGACAAGTAGACCATCATGTGAGCATATGTGAGCCATGTTTTTTGGGGCTTTGCAACACCACAGCCAAGGTTGATGCAGATGGCATTTGCCGTGGATGTCGCTTTGTGTCGAAGCCTCAATGGCATAGACATTTCCGGCGATTGGCTGGGCAACCCATTGGTTTGGGATCGTTGATTCTCAGAATAAAGCAGAAACAATCATGGGTTCCATCCCACCAGGCTTGCCGCGGACATCCCTTACCTGGAGGACATTGCGAAGGCCCTTTTTTCTCCTTTTTTCACGTGGCATGACATGGCATGACGTGTGCTTTGAGCGCATGGGTGAAGCTTCCAGGCCTACAAGACAGGAGAGCAAAGACGTCTAACGGCTGGGTCCAATCCAGACCTGACCTCAGAGCGCCGCTGTGTCACATGTGGCACCAACTTTTGCCACGCTGAAAGACGTTGAAACTGTTCAATATGTTCAATCATTTAATCAGATCTCCGAGGCATTCGATCCTCGTTCCTTGAGGGAGTCGACTCATTCCCTGCTGGAGGCCGAATGCCATTGCTTCCAAATGCTGGACCTGTTGAGAGAGAGGAAACCGAGCAGCTGGTTGTGGAATGTTGTGGAGTACTCATACCAATCTGGAATTCCAAGGGCCATAATCAGTTCTCCCTACTTTCCACAGGCGACCGTCCGTCGCAAGGGATGCATTTTGAGACTTCACTCCTGCGAATTGACTTGGAACATCAATATCTCTGACCTCGCTACCTTCACCATCCTTGCTGTCAGATGTTGACCAGTCGATGCGATCAAGATGGGGGCAAACAGCTCAGACCTTTGCAAATCTGACATGCTATAGTTTCCTGCATTCTGTAAACATTCTGACCATTCTGTTTAATCTTCAACTATGCACGACAGTGCCTGAAGTCCTTCAAGTTTCCACGCTACGCAATTGTTGCTGCGATTGAACGACTGTGTCCACAGAAAAGAATCTAGAGGAGTCTTGCCGTTTCACATTTGCGGTATTCAACTGGGGTACATGCCAGTCTTTGCTAGCTTCCAAACCAACGCCGATTGCATAAAAATATTTTGTTTCTTTGCTTGATGAAACCATTTGTAGCCACAATAGACATTTCTAACTTCCCAACAGGACCTTTGTTGGCGCCAACGCGATGATGTGAGTCATCGCTGATCAGTGGTTTCTTACCGTTACTACGGTAGAGAAGTCGTGCTCTGAGGTCACTTTCTCTTGGTGCCAAGTCCACTTGGTCCCCGATTGGTCCCTGCGTTGGGCACTGAAACATTAAGTATGCCATGTGCGCTACAACATCTCATCCAACTTTCTATCTTTCTGCAATCACTGTTTTGTTTCTTGTTCTTTCTTTACTTATTTCAAACTTTTTCGTTTTTTCTTTTGTTATTTCTTTCGTTATTTCTTTCTCACCAGGTTGCATGAGGATGACTCGGGAGATGAGACTGAGGCTTTCACTTGTTCGTTGCCATGTGCCGTGCCATGTGTCGTGCGGTCTCCCGACTTTGTGGATCTCGACAGGTTCGAAGAGCGCCAAGTCTTACGTTGCCTAGCTGCCTCAACCTTGAATTATGTTGAATATTTTGAGCCTTGAATCCTTTTTTTTGGACGACTTGAGAAGATTTCAGGTGCAGAAACTGCAGACCAAGTCCAAACTGCAGAGGCCTTAGGCTCTTCCCCATTCTTGCACCATCAGCTTCTTTCCATGATTTTCGTGAACCTGGTGACCAGCTTGATCAGGTGCCAATTATTTCTTGCCACGATTTTAACTCACTGATGATAGATTCTGATAGATCATATAGATCTTGAACATCGGATGAGAGGAGCACGGTCTAAGGAGTCTGAACAGCCACAGTCTGGGCTGGGACCTCCACGGTTGGGTGCCGCTTTGGCACCTCGGCATCTCGTTGCATTTCTAGCGATGGTATGGATGTAATGTAAAGTAAAAGAGCTGCAACTTGGGTGTAAAGCAGTTGGAAGGAAGTGTGACAGTGTGACATAGTCACTTCAGAATTTGTAAGAATGATGTTGTGACAGGTGTGTCCAGATCAGCTCAGCACAAACCGCCAAGCGGCCAAGTCAGGTGACACAAGCTTTGCTCATGTACAATGCAGCAGCTGGGCACCTGGTGGGCGTTGTTTTTGTTGCGGATCCACGGTCAGCTTGGATCGGATCCTAAGGTGCGGTTAGCACAGGTGCACCCAGAGTCCAGAAAGTCGACGGAACTGAAGCATGTGCAGAGCTCGTTGAAGAGTTCCAGTGAAAAATGTGAGATACATCGGATACATTTTGAACATTTATATACATTTATATCATTTATGAAACACATGAAACACTTCAATGCCAAGACATACTGCATTCATTTGTATTTAAATGTAGTTAATCAGCATGGTGTACACTCCGTCAAGAAATATCTGAATTTTGGAAGGTCAAACATTTGATGAGACCGGCCAAGGTACCAGCTGGTGCAAGGCCATGAACGTTTGCGGGTTCTTGGCAGCTCCCTTCTATTCAACGTCCTTCCTTCTCAAGAGTTTAGCCTTAAAGGAGTTTCATCAACTGAACTTTTTGTCTCAGATGACAGGTAGATTTCTGTCCCTGTGCTGGTCAAGTTGGAGGGATTTTGTAGTGTAGGTGGACAGCCAAGAGCTGCCGTCACCCTCTACGTGTACGGCAAATGATGCTTCGGTCTGTTCACACCTGAGCGATCGGACCCGAAAGCATGAGAAAGCAAGTGCTGAAAACGCTCCCGGGAATTTCAGAAAGCAACTATCTTTAGCATGAAAATATCAAAAATATCAACCAATTTGGGGAGAACAAGGGTTTTCTGCTTACCGCTTTCGAGGTTCGTGCACTTCGATCTGCCGTGCAGTTGAAGGACCATTCTTCGGCCACTGACTTAAGCCATGGCATGTGCCTTGCGCGCAGGATTCCCCAGCTCGGCTTCCTCGAAGGTCGGCAATTCTTCAAAATCGTTTTGGATCTCTGACAGCTGAAACCGCCAGATTCCAATTGCTGCTGGCATCGGCCTACGAATTCTTGGCAGATTCCTTCTTTGCCGAGGTGGTTTCATTCATCATTGGATCCATACTATAGAAATATATATACATATATATAGAAATATATATATATATATCATGAAGTGCGGAGATTTATGCACTATAGTGAAACGTGAAATACACATAGTAACTAGATGTAACTGTACAATGTACAGTAACTGGAGCATGTTTGCAAAACAGTTTTGTGAGTTTGACTTCCTCAACTTCCTCAATTTGCTAGGAAGTTCATGGAGATGCTGTCCTGGACATCTCCAGACACCGCAGCGCGCAGTGGGGCTCTTGCTGAGATGGGTACACAAGCCGATGTACAATGATAAATCAATGATATATTTGAGCTGAGTGGAGGATCCTCACCGTGACCCTTAAGATCCTTAAGGAAAGGCAAGGGTGTAATCTCTTGAAGGTTTGGAAGTAGAGAAATCACAGCTTATGCATTCTACTGAAAGAAACTGCCGATTGTCCAGTTGTCACCTGCCCGATCCAAAAGGACATGTTGCTTGCGGCTTAATAACTGAGGGGACACCTGCATAAAAGCAAGAAACACTTGGCGGAGTGACCCATGCTGCTGCCACTTTCACATGTGATTTGCGTGGGTCTAGTTGTTGCTGGTTTGAACCAAAGTGCAGAGAAGCATTCTTGAAGTCTGACCTTGAGTGAGGATCACATCATGTGGAAAGTCATTTTGCTTTCCCCATTTTGGATGTCAGGTATGCAAATAGCCGACCCACACGAGCTTGTGAAAGCACATTTGCCCGAAGTGTGAGGGAGTTGGAGGAACCTTCTCATCTCTATACCGGAGCAGCGACAATCAAGAAATAGAGTTTGTTGATGCACCTGGGTCTGTGCAGGAGCGAATCAATGCGAAACTGGTAAATGCTCATCTTTGTGCAATCCTTATGGCCCGCCATTGCCAGCCAGCAGTGAAGCAACTTTAGAGTTGCACAACAGCTAGCCTTTCTCTCAGGTTTGGCAAGGCTTTACCAAATGGAACCCTGGAAAGACACCGCTTGGCGACACTCTGACATGTTTTGACATGTTTGTCCGTCAGCTGCAAGTCTTGGAGTTGTGGGTGACCATGTGCTCTGTTTCAATGCTGCATCCTGACGCTTCACTTCATGCTGGCCCTAGGTCGCTTGATCGAACACAGCAAATCAACCGCAGAGACTAGACTACTTTTAAACAAGCCACACTATCACGTCTTAGAAGTTGCATTTGGGGGTGGAGGATTTAGGAATGCAAAATAATATATACATTAATATACTAGGTCATCCTGATCCTACTCGACCAATCATTCGCGTAGTGATGGAAGACAGTGGAGCCCCTGTGGATGTTGGAACCTCAACCTGAGCTGCTTCTCGAACATTTGCTATGCTGACTGTCAGGCATTGTGACTGATTGTGATAACTTGCTTGCCCTGTCACTCATGGTGTGAAGACGCCTTAATCATTGGATATGATTGCTATGTATCACATCACATCCCATCCCATCACTTCACCTCACATCACATCATCTCAAGTTATGTCATATCATATCATATCATATCACATCATATCACATCACATCATTTCATGTCATGTTCAGACATGTTCCGACCCTCAGACAATTTCAACAGCTTTGTTTTTTCCCACACGCAACTATCTCTGACCTATGTGCGATGTTTGTGCCCTCTCTGAATTCTCAACCTGGGCCAGGCTTCAACAAGCAAACTTGCATCCGTTGCCATCTTGCCAAGGCCCTTTTTCAACATCACGGGGATCCAGTGCAGCGGTGACGACAGCTCATGAATGAACAGGCCCTTTCCACAAGGAAGTAGCCTGATTATAAATTGGCACTATTGGAGAACCATACAGTAGCGGTCAGTGCTTTCAAGACTCCACGATGTCAGTTCACTGCATTTCAGGGACCCCATGTAAAACTGCAGCGCGAGTCCCAGAAATATCCAGAAATCTTCCAACTGCAGAGTGCAATTCTGTTTCGGCAGAGCCATTCTGAGGCTGTGGCAGGGAGAAGTTTGGGCCGCCTCCCTAGGATCGTTTGGGGTGGTGGGAATTTCGGTGTTCTCTCGGTGTTCTCTCGGTGTTCTCTGGGTGTTCTCGGTGTGCGGCTTGATTGGTCAACCAGGTACGGCAGGGCGTCAGCGAGCAGTTGCCAGTGGCCCACAGTTCCAGTGGCACAAGCACCATGCAATCAGTATTTGATTGGTGGTTTGATCCTTGCCGATGATGACGACGACGACGATGATGATGATGACGATGACGATGAGGATGAGGATGAGGATGAGGATGAGGAGGAGGACGAGGAGGAGGACGAGGAGGAGGACGAGGAGGAGGACGCGGAGGAGGACGACGAGGAAGCTGACAATGAGGATGACTATGAGGATGACGATGACGATGATGACAGCGAGGACGATCATCTTTCACAACCATTTTTTTTGGGGGTGTCGATTCGCAGGGGGTTTATACAAACTTGAAACCACCAAGCAACTAGCTATGGCAGATATGATTTCTGGAGTATATATTATTTCGCTTTGGCACTACATAGCTGCATGTTCACTATCGCTCAGGGCAGACTTTGTGGGCATCCTTGCCTCTTTAAGAAAGCCTGAGCCAACGTTCGCTCCTTGTCACTTTCACAAGAGCATTGATCAGTTGCGGCAAGTCTTTAGCTGTGCTCTGAGGATGATCGCTCAAGACAGCTGGAGGAAGGTCCTCATGGTTCTACTCGTTAGACTGAAGGCCTGCACGAAAGCCAAAGATCTGGCTGCATATTTGCAACAACACTGTGGTAGGCAAAGAAGATTCGATCTATGCGAAGCTGTTACGATTTGCCCTGCACTCAGATTGCCACTCTGCCTTCTGTGCACAAACCCATGTGTCCAGAAGCTAGATTGAATCCACCTTCCATGACAGGTTTTGTGGAAACATGCTCATTCTGATTTGGAAAGTCCTGCAGAAGGCAAGTGACCGCAAGTGCTGGGATGGATCCAAACCTAGTATCTCAAAACAGGTATATTAACTATTATAATATTGTATAATAAGCATTTGTAACATGTCCACCAAGACTATGTTCACCAGGAAAGAGCTTTGACCCATGGTTTCATTGGGCAACAGATGGGCCATTGCAGGCTTTATCTCCTGCTGAAGGCAGGAGAGATTCATCATGCTTTGACGGGCTGAGGACGGGCATGGGCAGATGCGCCAGGTGACAACCTGGCCAACATGTTAACTGAGGAGATCATCCTGCAGAGTGCTTCTCTTACTCTCTTGTTGGTTGCATTGCTGGTTGCTATTGAGTGCTGGTTGCTAATTTTGATCAACATATATCAAAATCAATCACGAACTGTTGAAGCCAGTTTTTTTTGCAGTCTAGTGACACTTGCGAATTTAAGGAGTTGGGAATCTTCAAGATCACATTGAGCGGGTTTGTTCCTTGATGGAGTTCGTCGACTCGGGAGTTCGCTCCTCAAAGGGCTGCGATTTCCACGTTTGTCTCGCTGAGAGACTTTCAGACATTTTCTCTGTAACACGGCTGCGGAATGTGTGGAATGTGCGGAATGTGTGGAATTTTGCAATGCATCTCTTGAGGATGTGATTCGGTATCCTTCACACTTTCCCGAAAGACTGGGCAGAGCCAAGAACTTAGACATCTGATGACATCTGAGGCTAAGGATGGCTAAGGAGTTCAGAGCAAGAGTTATTCCGCGACATCCTGCTCAGATCCCATCTTACAGCCCCAATGTGTGGCTTGAGGCCTACATCCAGCATGCTTTCGAGTGCGCAAATCCATGGTCACATCTGGCACCGTGAAGAATGAAGATCGTTGGACAATGCTGGCGCAGGTTGCAGCCTGACACATGGGTTGCCAAAGGCAGCCAACTGTAAATAGAATGATCGTTCGAACGATCCTTCCCGAATGAGTTTCAAGCTGAAAAGCGAAAGTGGACACCTGACAACCATGTATCGCAAAAAGGAAGCATGCCACTAGGGTTAGTGGCTGTACTGAAATATCTGAAATATGCTTCGTCATTTTGGTGTGTTCATCGATATCACTGCCAGGCAATTTGGGTTTGGCCATGAAGGAATTAGATGCGGCAGAGGACAGCCAAGACGTTTCGTATTGACATAAAGTGTAAGACTCTGACTTTCTTCTCTTCGAGATCTTTTTGGCGGGCATTTCTCCACATGCGTTTGGATGTAAGAATATGTAAGGCATGGAGTCCAATGCTTCCAGGATTTGGTAGCGAAACCCAACAGGGTGACACAACCTTCAAGGGCAGCAGGAGCGTACGAGCCTTCCTGGCCTGTCGAGCGGCCCCTCACAACATGGTGGATTCTGCTATGAAAACAGGGCTGGCAAAATTGGCAAACCTACTGTGCAGTCGCAGGTGCTCCCTTTTGGCTTCAATAAGCAAATGGAAAGCTGGAGCCTTGGAATGGAGAACATCCACATGGAGCGCTGACCGTTGAGTTCTCGTGTTGGTGCTTCATAACAAGGCCCAAAGCAGTAGACTTGAAATATTTCTGCATATCTGTTCTTTTCAGGCTGATCACTTACACGAGCTGGCCGCACTATTGCTCCCAAGTGTGGTAGGATTCTCATGGATTCTCAGCTTATCTCAGCTTCTTCGGGGGCTTTCAGATGCTTTCAGATGCTTTCAGCTTGGAGGTCGTGACACCTCTCCGAGGCTCCAGGATCAGAGCTTGCCAAAGGATTGTACGACTACGTGGAGGTTGGTCCACGGGTCCACGGGTCCGTGGGCGCATGGTGGGTCCAATGTTCATCCGACGTCGTGAGAGTGGGAGATTTTGATGATTTTTGTGAAATTTTGATGCGACTTAACCAGACTTCACCACTTCATCCGAGTGAGGCTCAGCAGAAGGAGCTGGATGAGACACTCCAAGTGATGCCCACGCAATGCGAGCGTTGGCTCCAGGCAAGATCTGAAGCTGTCTATGAGAGCCACATAGAGCCGCTATGAACATGAATTTCTAAATGGATTTTAGAAGATGCACCGCATGATGCACCTCCACAAGAAAAGATCTCTAACCTCTATATATCTCAGATTATCTCGGTCTCGGTATCCTTTCTGTCAACTTTTTTTTTCGTATCGTTTTTGGCATTTCTGGCTGAGTCCACCGTGAGCCTTTGCCTGCGTGCCTTGCATCAACTTGCTGCTGTCCCAACCGAGGCGTGGCTGTCCAAGATAGGAGACACCAAATTGAAGCGGTTTGACCAATATACCAGTAACATCCAGTAACTTGCTCTCATATTTTCCAATGAAAATGGCAATATACCAGTAGTACCGCACAAGGCGGTGGCGGAAGTTTCAAAGATAGGACACTATAGGAGAGTTGAGTTGTTGTGATGCATGGATGGCAGAGCGAATCCACTGATGGACCGAAAAGTGGTTGGAGTTGTGTTTTTTTGGAGTGGTTGCATTGGTTGCAGTGGTCACCTCACCCACAACTGCTGGATGTAGTGTGGTGTGGTGCAGTTGTAGTGGTAGTTGTAGTTGTAGTGTAGTGGAGTTGTAGCTGTAGTGTAGCGTAATTAGTGTAGCGTAGTTGCAGTTGTAGTTGTGGTGTGGTGTAACGAGTGCAGTGTAATCTAATGTAGTGTAGTGCGCTGTAATGTTGTGTACTGTAGTGTCGTCTAGTGTAGTGTGGTGTAAAGTAGTGTAGTTGTAGTTGTAGCTGTAGTTTTAGTTTGTGTAGTGTAGCGTAGTGTATCGTAGTGCAATTAGTGTAGTGTAGTGTAATGTAGTGTAGTTGTAGTTCTAGTTGTAGGTGCAGTTGTAGTATAAGTAGTGTAGCGTATTGTTGTGTAATGTAGTGTAGTTGTAGTTGTACAACCGCGCACAATTTTTCATCTCTCATCTGGCCAGATGGCTCCGCACCCCCGCTTTAGCGAGCGTACTTTTCGGCCCTCCGGCCCTACTCTTTTCGCGCACGTGCATTTTCTTTCCTCTGACTTTCTTTTTTCTGATCTTCCTCTCTTCTCTTCTCTTCCTTTTCCTCTTCCTCTTCCTCTTCCTCTTCGTCTTCGTCTTCCTCTTCCTCTTCGTCTTCTCTTCTCTTCTCTTCGCTTCGCTTATCTTATCTTCTCTTCTCTTCTCGGGCTCTTCCCACCTCTGCTTTTCCATATGACCATATTGTCGGAAGTTTGACTTCTAAACTTCCTTCGCTCAAATATTGGTGGTATTTTCATCCGTTTTCAGAAACACCTATTTTCTTTGTCCGGTTCCTCCAACCAGATTCTGTTCCACAGGTGACTGCGGAGCTGCAGGTTCAGGCTCGATTTTTGTTGGCTCGCTCCTATAGCAAGTGCCACCCTGAGGAAAAGCTAAACGGAATTCAGCAGCATCAGCAACTGCTTGGGGCAAGAGTTTTTGGAGGCTTTCGAACTCTTGGAACGCCAATTTGTTTTGGATTCTTCCCTGTTTTTTCCCTTTATTTGTTGCATCCTCAAGCTCCAAGGTTGGGCCATTTGTATGCAAGTACTGGCCGCTTCACCAAGGCCCCAGCTGCAGCTAGATGCTGGTGTAAAGCAGTTTGCTGGTTTCAATCGTTTTTATTGTATTTATTACTTTCTATTCTACCTCTGATGATGATGATGATGATGGTCCCACCTTGCTCATTTTTTCCAAAAGGAATTTCGGAATGTCCCTACCCACAAGGCATCAAGATGCCAGTTGTTTTTGGTGCCAGGCCATGACGCATGCGAAGCAAGGCATCGAGCTCTTCAATGCTATCAAGGCTGCTGCAAGATGTGTTGGGGATCACTCAGAGGTATCATATCACAGAATCCTGTGCATCTTGTATTTAAAGCAGATTTGCAGATATTTGCAGGACAAACTTGAAGCAGCAAAACTGCAGCTATGGTGCTGCTCTTGGGATCTTAGGGTACTCCATGCACAGCAAGAAAATGCAAAGTTGGACTTGTGACCGGATCATGCTGAGGTTGTGTAGGCTCCAGCTTCGGATGGCGCTACCACAGGCTGGAGATGCCGCAGCCATCCCCTGCCGTTGGTGTCGCAGCTAGTCGCAGCCTGGCAAGGCCCCTTCCAGTGGCCGCTCCGACTTTGGCCTGATCAAGGTCCTGCGCGGCTCACGGATCTCACGGATCTCACGGATCCTGTGGCCACGTGCCACGAAACTGCACGAAACTCTGAGCCAAGTCTTTCGCAGAGGACCGGGATCTGCTTTCTGGTATCCCGGCAGCGACGGCAGCTGAAGACACGGCTCTGCGACAGGTGCTGAAACCGAAAAGGGACAGGTCTGAAGTCTTTTTGTTACTCCATTGCCTGCCTATCATATGTGTGCAGGTTGTACAGCAGCTGCAAAAGTCGTTGAATGCTCTGGATTCTGAGGTGGGTTTTTTTCTTCTGCACTTCTATGGTACTGCCCAACTGCCCATATTACATTGGTGAAATCCATCCATGCACATGACTGACCTGTGTTGCATGCAGTTGTACGCACAGTGGCATAGCATTGCCAACTCTGAGACCGCCATCGGATGATGGCTCAAGCGATGCACAAAAGGCGTGCTTCAATACCCCGGCTGCTGCCCAGTTTTGAAACTGGCAGCGGAGCCGCTGCGGCGGCAATCACCGTTTTCTTCTTCGCCAGCTTCGCCATGGCAGCGATGCTGGAAAACTTGAGGTGGAGACCAGATGGCACCCAAGTTCATAGCAGCATGGAGGACCAGAATACCGAAGGCAAGTTTGGCGTCCCGAAGTTCGATGGGAACCCGAACACCTTGCAGGAATATGAATGGCGAGTTAGAACGAAGATGGCGAAAGAGGCCGAGATGAGCAAGGACGAGACAGCCAAGCTGGGACCCTTAGGTCTGAGGTTAGTCGAGGGATTGCGTGGACCTGCCCTCAGATTAGCTCAGCAGGTGGACATCTCAGTTTTGTCTTCATCAGCTGGTCCGACAACCTTGCTGAAAACCCTGAATAGCAACCTGAAGCCCCGGAAAGAACAACAAGCCAGAGAACTGTATAGCGCAGGTTCCAAAGAAGGTGGAATGCTTGCCCGCCAACATGGCGAGCCGATGAGCTCCTATGTGGCCCGCCGGACAGCCTGGTGGAACGCTTTGCAGAGCCTCGACCAGGAGCTCAAAGTGCCAGATGTGCTGCTGGCTGAGATGACCCTGACGAATAGTGGCTTGTCTGAGGATCAACGCCTGATGATCCGCACGGTGCTTCAAGGAAGGATCACCACCGATTTGGTGACCACTGAACTGCTCTCTCAACATCCTTCCATCCATGAACGTGAACGACGAGTTGGAAAGCCGAAGGGCCATTCCAAAGGCTGGAGATTTCAGCCGCGTCACAAGGGTGGAAACCGAGGTTTTTTCTCGGAGGATTTCAATTCTGGCAACGATGACTGGGAATGCGGATCGCAGTCGCTAACTGGTTTTTCTGCCGTATTGACTGAAGAGCACGAGGTCCATGAAGATGACGAAACCTATGGGTATGTGGCCGAGGTTCAGTATGACGACATGACTGAGTATGACTACGAAGATGAAGGCTTCCTGGTGATGAACTTCGCATTGCTGTGCGAAAATGGACTGGACCTGCAGAATGAGGAAGCAGTTGCTTTGGCAGCGGAATCACTGCAGCTGGAATATGAAGCCTACATGTTGCGTGGACATGGCAAAGGAAAAGGACATGGAGGTTTTCAAGCCCAGCGCCAGTTCGAGATCAGCGGCATCGTTTCCTTCCAGGAGCGCAGAGCCCGACTTGCCCAGTTGAAAGCCAGAACGGAGTGCAGAAAGTGTGGTCAGAAAGGCCACTGGAGTGGCGATGCCTCATGCCCAAAGGGGAATCGCAAAGGTGGATCCAAGAAGGGCTCAAGCCCAAGTACCACTTCAACAAAGCCGAGCAATTCAGCTGGCGGAGGAAAACATGGTGGAAAGCCGCACAAACCACGTGTGGTGTACTTTTCACATCGTGGTGATGATTCAGGAACCGATGGATGGAGCTACATGGCAGTGAAGCCCGAGCCCAATGAGACCAAGGTACCCAAAGGAGCTCGACCAAAGGCCAGGGGTGCATGCATTCCTCCCCCTACTTCCTTGACGAGTGAGACTTTGCCTTCGAGCTCTACGACGTCCTCATCTATGCCAGTTGTTGGAACTTTTGCGGACTCTCTGACCAACATCATGGCTGCTGCAGCTGCGAGCAATCCAATGACATCACGACCATGCCTGGAAGAACCTGTTCGTGGTCGCAATGAAGTTAGGTGCAACAACAAAGCGCCTGGACAGAAGTCTTACAGCTACAGCCCAACGGCTGAGGCTTCATCAGACACAGCAGATGAGTATGAGCTTCCAGAGTTCTTGCGCCCTGGACCTGAAGAGATCCAAAGCTCACCTGTGCCTTCACCGACAGAAGCTGCAGGTGTCCATATGACTGTGAATGACAGGGACACTGCCTTGCTGTTGGATGCCTTGGCCCCGGAATCGGCGCCAGTTGTTCATGGAGCTCTGCATCAACTGGGAGACTTGGAGATGGAAGTTGATGGCGAAGGGGTGGCTACTGCGATCTACCTGCCACCGCATATCCAGGTGCTCAACTCTCAGAACATCTTGCCGCCCATTGAAGCCTTGGAAGAAGCACGAAGAGATCAGCTGACGGAATGGCTGGACTCCCACAAGCCTGATCACCCGCACTATGCGGAGGCGTATCAGGAGCGATGGTGTGAGTTCCATGCAGGACATCCTTTTTCCAATGCCGAGGATGAGATGAACTTCAAGCGCTGGCGTGCCAACATGCTGGCTGGTTTCCGACCTGAGCTGCAACCTTTGCCCAAGCCTTTGCCAGCACCAATGTCAAGTGCACCATCCTCAGCTCCTCTTCCTCTTCCAGCACCTGTGCAACCTGATGGAGGATATGTTTGCCCTCACAAGAACATCACACGAAAAGGGACGAACCAACATGTGGAAATGGAGTCTTGCAAAGACTGCGGAAAAGTCCTCAAGCGAGTTCCCAAGGATGGCAAGTTGCCTACTGGTCCAGATGCTGCCCAAACAGCACAACAAGCAGCCTGCTCTCACCTTCGCATCAGTTGGAAGGGATCGAATGGACACCAGTGGCGCAACACATGCATGACTTGCGGAAAGGTGGCTACTGGACACTATGCTCACACGAGGCCTGGAATGACAAGGAGTTCCACTTCCATGCCACGATCTTCAGCTGGTGGATCGTCATCCAATGGCAATTTCACCATTGACCAGGTGCAGGAGATTTTCCGTACGTGCCAGGTTGTGGCCCGTGTGAAGGCTGGTGAGGATGGCTGTCAACAGATGTCATCCGCCTCAATGCATCGAGTTTTGGATGCTGTCTGCGCCACCACTGCAATGAATGCTGCCATGACCACAACCATGCCGAGCACTATCAGCCCTGACATGGACGACAAGGACAACAAGGCCATCTCATTTGGAGAATTCAAAGGCCGAACCTTCAAGGATGTGTATGACAATGAAAAGCCCTATGTCACCTGGTGCCTAGCTCAGACCGAGACCAAGAACCGCAAGCTGAAGGAATTTGTCACCTACCTTCAGCACAAGACCAATCCAAGACTTGGATTCATGGCGACCTCCGGAGGAGGAACTGAGACAGATCTGATTGCAATCCTTGACTCTGGTTGCAACAGAACATGCCACGGTGAGAAATGGCTCCGACGCTACATGGACACCGTGGACCAGCACCACTACCCTTTGGAGCCTGATCATGGCGGAGGATTTCGTGGCATTGGCGGTTCAATCAACACAAAGGGCACCAGGAGCTTAGATGTTTGCTTTGAGATTGCGGATGGCATGGCGATAGGAGAGATTGACAGCATAGAGTTGGAAGATAGTGATGCCCCACTTCTGCTCTCCATTGCCGACCAGCGCAAATTGGGCTTGACGGTGACTTTGGGAGACCATGACAAGGTCTTCAGCACCAAGCTCAATGCCGAGCTCATTGTCACCAACATCAATGGCCTCTTGGGCGTGCGACTCTTGCCCAAGCACCTTGCGATGATGGGTGTCACTGAGGCCTATGAACATGACAACATGGATGCAATTTCCACGACACAGGAACCTTCTCCATTACCAGTGCAGGAACCTTCTTCAGTGCAACAGTCGGCATTTGTGAGCGCGGACTTGGACTTGGATTTGTCCGTAGCTCATGGGTGTCGGAACATGTCACAAAATCTACAGCAACAGAATGAGACCTATGTAGCTGTGGAAGATGAGATGCGCAAGACCATGACGCGCGGCCAGCGCAAGTTCCTGGAGCAATCTGTCCAGGAGATCCATGCGAGTGATGTCAGCCTCTGGGCGACCCTGAAAGGCCAGAAGGCTAAAACACCTCTTCCTCGAGGATGCAAGGTCTTTCTGATGGAGATCTTTGCAGGTGCAGCAGTTTTGACCTCAATGGCCATGAGTTTGGGTTTGCCGGTTGCTGCACCGATAGACATCAAGCTGGATGGCACTGATCTTTTGGATCCCAAGGTGCGACATGAGATCGAGCTTCACATTGAGGAGCAAGACCCCTACTGCGTGACCTTTGCACCAGTTTGTGGACCCTGGGGATCATGGAGTCGACTCAATATGCAGAAGAGCGACATCACCAGGGAAACAATTTTGCAACAGCGTGATGCTTGGTACCCATGCCTGAAATGGATTGAGAAGATGGTACGCAAGCGCATGGCACGTGGCCGAAAGTTTGTGGTTGAGAACCCATGGCCCAGCGAACTTTGGGGAACCCTTTGCATGGACAAGTTGATCACTGAAGCACCTTGTGATGCAGAAAGCCGAGAACCTCTTGAACTTGTCAGAGGAGATCAATGTGAGTTTGGATTGAAAGACCTCCAAAATGGTTTGCCTCACTTCAAACCCACTGGCTTCATGACTGCGTCCAAAGGTGTGAAGGACCAAGTTCAACGGCGATGCTCTGGAAACCATATCCACCAGCCATTGGAAGGTGGAAGGCGCACGAAGCTTGCGCAACACTGGCCTGCAGCCTTGTGCAAGGCGATCATCAATGGACTTTTGGATGATCTGCACAGCCGAACTGTCATGGCTGCTTTCCATGAAGTTTCCAATGGAGAGATGGACTATGGCGAAGGCGAACTGGGAAGTTTGGACTTCATCTACGACGAGGATGACCTCAGTCGTAACCCAGTTTTGCCTGAGCGTGTTGACAACTATGAGCTGCAGCGACAAGAGAACATGGAGGAGGCACCAAACCCTCCGGACCTGATGGAGCTTGAGGCCGACCGCAAGTTCAAGTGGCTGAGAATTCCAAGAGAAACCAGAGTGGCCATCAGGCGGCTTCATCACATGATTGGTCATGGTTCCAGCAGTTCTATGTTGCAGTTGTTGCGGACGGCTGGCGCTTCAGCCGAAGCTTGTGAAGCAGTCCGCCACTTTTCATGTGAAACATGCCGGAAGCGAGAGCCGGTCAAGAAAGCCCCAATTGTGAAGGAGCCCAACAAGATGATTTTCAACCATGAGATTTCTGCTGACTGTTTTGAGATTCATGATGCAGCAGGAAATCGCCACACAGTTTTGTCAGTGGTGTGTTTGGGAACCTTGTACCACCAAGCATGGTGGGTTGCTCCTGGAGGCGTTCCAAAGAGCCGTGTTTGCGCTGAGATGCTCTTGAATGGATGGTTCCAGCCTTTTGGATCACCTCGCATCTTCACTTGCGATCGTGGGGTCCACAACCGTGGAAGGGTCTTCGACCTACTGCGAATCCATGGAGTTCAAGTACGAACCGTTGGCCTGGAAGCACCATTTCAAATTGGACGCACTGAGCGCCAAGGTGGAATTTTGAAGGAAGTGCTCAAAGGTGCCATTGAAGAGCGCCAGATCATTGGCGTGAACGACATCAAGATGCTCATTGCCGAAAGCACCACAGTGAAGAACTGCAGGGTGAATCATCATGGCTTCACTCCTGCCCAATGGGTGCTTGGTCGATTGCCGACCGATTTCACATCAGTCACTGCTGAGGAAGCCGAGAGCTATGCCTTGAGAGTTCAATCTGAGACCTTGGAGCCCGAGGACGAGTTTGCGAAGCAGCTGGAGATCAGGCAAGCTGCCAAGATGAGCTTTGCAAAAGCTGACAGCAGCAGGCGAATCAGAGCTGCCTTGCTGCGCAAAGCAGTGCCTTTGAGAGGTCCCTACTCACCTGGAGACCTTGTATGCTTCCATCGCCGCAACCGATGGCATGGACCTGCGAGAATTGTGGGAAAAGAAGGAAGATCCACATTTTGGATCATACATGCTGGAGTTCCAATTGTTGTGGCAGAAAGTCAGATCAGGCCTGCAACAACCTCTGAAGTCATGGTGAAGCAGATCCTTGAGCTGAGGCCTTCCCGAAAACGCAAAAGGGAAATCAATGAGGGAGACGACGAGATGCCATTTTCAGATGATTTGCATCTTCCTCATCTCCAACAAGAAGATGATCAACCGTCCTACCTGGAGCTTCCACATGAGCCAGGTATGCCCAGCTCAGAAGGTGCCGGTGCTCCCATTGCGGACCCTGCGGGCGTGGATTTGGGCGCTCCTCCTGGATTGGACTTACCAGTTGAGGTGCAGTCCCCACCTGGCTTGGATTTGGATTTTACAGCCGGTGGTCCCCCGCAGGAAGACACTAACATGTCTTCCGGTCCCATGCAACAAGAGGCACAGCCTGAGTCTGAGAGGCCACCATCATCAGGTGTGCCCACAGTGCCTTCAACACCAGCTCCTCTTCAAGTACCACAACTTGGATTGAATGAGGCCTTGCGAAGGTCTGCCAATGACCTTGACGGTCACCATCTACGATCACCAAGATCGACAGCCAATGCACATCGTGGACGCTCACGTTCACCTCACCGAGAGCCTGGGAACATTCCAGTTCCACCTGAACTCCAACAAGATGCTGAAGAAGAGCTTCGACAAGATCGAAGATTTTCTCATTTCATGGCTCATAGAGACTTTGATGTTTTCTTAGCCAGAAAGGCGCCAAAGAAGAAACGACAAGTTGGAGCGGGCCGTGAGCTGAACTACATGAAGAGCGAGCCCCATGTGCAGAAAGCTTTGAATGAAACGAGATTGAAGGAATGGAACAGCTGGAAGCAATTTCAAGCTGCCTATGTTTTGCCACCAGGTCCAGCACAGGATCAATTTATGGCTGACAACCCTGACTTGGTTGTGATACCGAGCCGTTGGGTGGACACGGACAAGTCTGAGGATCCAACGAACCCAGCCTACAAATCTCGCCTAGTTGCCAGAGGAGATTTGGAAAAGACCAAGGATGGCAATCAAGCTGTCAGAACCGACAGCCCAACTTCCAGTCAGCTCTTCCTGCACACCATCATATCCTACAGCGTCTGCAAGAAGCGACTTCTACGCGGAGGAGATATCTCTGCGGCATTTTTGCAAGGAACGAAGATCAAGCGCAAATTGGCGCTGAAGTTGCCAGCAGATGGAATTCCAGATGAGAGTGTGGAACCAGGATCACTTTTGATCTGCGAGAAAAGTGTCTATGGCACCTGTGATGCTCCCCGTGGATTTTGGAAGGAACTGTATGACACGCTGATGGAATGTGGACTGAAGAGCGTGCCAATGGAAACATCTGCATACTACCTGCCCGGTCGTCAAGGCGAAGTTCTTGGACTACTTGGCAGCCACGTGGATGATTTGCTCTGGTGTGGAGGACCGGAGATGGATCAGGTGATGCTGGAAGTTCAGAAACGTTTCAAGTTCAGAATGGTCAACGCCGATGATTCCAAGGATGGCATTTTCAAATTTTGTGGCCGCATGATCAAGCAGACCAGCGAGGGTGTCACTATCACCTCACCAGAAGTGTTGGATCGTGTGAAGGCGATTTACATTGAGCCTTCCCGCAGGAAACAACGTGGCCAAGCTGCAACCCAGTCTGAGATTGGACAATTGCGTTCAGTCGTTGGAAGCTTGAGTTGGTACAGCCGTGTCTGCAGACCAGATTTGGCGTTCCAAGTGAACCAGCTCCAAGCAGTGCAGCAACGTGCCAAAGTTGATGATTTGCTGACAGCAAATCGCCTGCTGAACTATGCCCTGGAGACCCGTGAGAAAGGCGTGCACTTCCCAGCAGATGCCTTTTGCTTTGAGGATGCAGTGATTCTTTGCATCAATGATGCGAGCCATGCAGCGAGCGTTGATGCGACCGACGGTGGGCATGTCGTTGGTCACCGCTCTCAATCTGGGCGGATGCTTGCACTGGCATCGCGGGACTTCATTGAGAAAGGGTATGGAAAGATTCACCTTCTGCAATGGTCGAGTACAGTGATCAAGCGTGTTTGCAGGAGCACACTGCAAGCTGAGACCCTTAGCCTCCAACTTGGAAGCGAAGATGGCGAACATGTGCGACAGATGCTCTATGTGGTAAAGAATAAGGCCACAGACCTCAATCGAATGGCGAACTACATCGGTGCAATGGACGATGTGGAGATCGCATGGTACACCGATTGCCGAAGCCTTTCTGACCACCTCACAAACCCCAATGCTGCAGTGGTGTCAGACAAAAGGCTTGCTATCGATCTCACTGGATTGAGGCAAGAGCTATGGCGTGAAAAAGGACAGCAGGTTGGAAATCCCACCTACTGTGATGAGATGCCAAAAGGCAATACCGCGCGTTGCCTGTGGGTGTCTACGAAGACGATGCCAGCTGACGGTCTCACCAAGCACATGCGGAATGACCAAATCAATGATGTGATGCAGAACGGATATCTGCATATGGAATTAGAAAAGCAACAAGGTCAGAAAAGTTTTTACGGGTGTGAAATCCATCCATGCACATGACTGACCTGTGTTGCATGCAGTTGTACGCACAGTGGCATAGCATTGCCAACTCTGAGACCGCCATCGGATGATGGCTCAAGCGATGCACAAAAGGCGTGCTTCAATACCCCGGCTGCTGCCCAGTTTTGAAACATTGTAGATGCGTGCCCTGAATTATCACCCCATAATCGCTTCCTCCGCTCTCGTGCAGGTTGCAGAAGAGCGCCATGTACACGCAGATGGGCAGGCTCTAACATCCACATGCTATGGTGAGCAGACAGCGTTGCAACTCCGTTGCATCTCTGAAGGCACTGCTGGGAAGAGTGATCCTCCGTGCGAAGCCTGGGAACAGTGGGGAGTAGTCAGCACCAAACACTCTGATCCGCAAGAGTCAGCGGGTTTTGACCTGATCCAAGGCCAAGCTTTGGTGAAATTGGCCAAGACACCCGCGCCCTTCAACACTTGCGGCCGACTTTGTGAAGAGGAGCTGCGGCTGTTGGGACTAGTGGAGTTCTGGTTTCTTGATCTGTGAGAAGACTCATGTCATCCATCAACATCTTCCCGGAAACCCAGGTTTGGTATTGGATTTGTTGATTTTGGAGTCCCAAAAAAACAGTTTGTCACTATAATGCTCTTGACCTGCAGGAGCTGTCTTTGCTGAGCGCGTTGGAGCTGCTGCAGGCGCTGTTGATGTGCTAACTGCCTCGCATTGACCAGCCGACCGTTGCGTTGCATCCAGGCACCCGAGGCAAGCAACACTTCGGCTGAGAGCACACGTCTCGGTTGCGTTTGCAAAGTTCTTTTTGCAGCCAACATCAATCATTGATTTATATTTATTTTGAATCAAATCATTGACTGTCCAAGTTGGCCAACCATCTTCCAATTTGAGGTTCGGAGGTCACGAAGGATGCTATTGAGAAACTACACCAAGCCGGGGGCTCACGAATGACTGTAGATGTTTGTAGGTGACCACGTGATCTGTATGATCCACGAGGCATTGTTGTTTGCCTTCAATGTTTGCTCCTGGGAGATCAGACCCACCAAGGCTGTTTCTTGTTTTCGTTCCTCGCAGTCTCAGTCCCTCTGCGCTTTGGTCCATGTTTGCCCTGAGCCAAGTTGAAACCTTCGTATTGGAACCTTCGAGTTGGCCGGAGTCATTGTGTTTGTAAACTTGCATTTGGGTGGCGTTGACTTCTTGTTTTGGATGTCTTGGGACAGACGCTACGCATCGCAGATTTATTGGTACAACGGGACCGTGAATACTTGTCACCTCTCCTGTTCTAATCATATCAATCCAAGGCAAATTTGCCGTGCTTCTGGGAACAAACTTGAGGGACCAAGACAAAAATTGTTTCATGCACTGATATCTATATAAGCATCAGGCACTTTGACCAAAGCCATCCCAAAACGATTTGTGTCTTTAAATTAAATATTTTAAAATCACATTTTAAGAGATACTGATATCAATGCCATGATCGACGGAAAAAAAATGGGGTGAGCACCATGAAGAGCCATGGTGGTCACTCACATTGTTGGAAGCCACAGGGCTTTCGCTGCGTTGACAGATGCTGGTGCGGTGTTTTGCTGGGGTGATTCAGAGGCTGGAGGTGACTGTGCCTTGGCTGCCTTGGTGACATCTTCCCCGTTGGCCGAACAATCAACACCCGACAAAGATCAACGCTAGAAGTCGTTCTTGTTTTGTACTTGACAAACTGAGGCAAAAAGATCCAAGATCAAATCTCAACTGGAGTGAGAGAGGTTTGTGCTTCGGGCGCAGCTTTTGCTGCATTAAAAATCGATGGTTCTGTTGTCACGTGGGGTCATCGGGACTATGGTGGAGACAGCCGAAGTGTGCGTGATGAGCTTCGGAACGGAGTAGCTTTGGAAGCATTGAAGTTTGGGCAGGCAGAGTTGACATTGAGCATTGAATAGAGGCCCTCTGAAAACAAAAGGCTTCGTATCTCGTATTCTGATGCATTCTGTATTCCTGTCTTTCATTTTGCTCCTTCTAACCAAGACTTAGAGCTGGACAAGAACGACTTCTAGAACATCCTCAGAATCTCTTTGCCAAAATGCTAGGTGCAACTCCGTGCTTCAGGGATTTCCCTGGAACTCGCTGTAGCTTTTCATTTCGAAGCTCAGGTGGTGTGCCTTTGTGCCACAGAGTCAGCTTTTGCCGCAGTGAAGGAGGGCAGAACTGTGATCACCTGGGGCAATTCCGCGAATGGCGGAGAAACTTGACTATTTCAAGAGCATCCACAGAAATGTACAGAACCTGTCCTTGGCATCTCACCATAAGATTTAGTTCAGCCCTAGGGCTCTAGGGGTTGTAAAATGTTATAATATGTTATAAGGCTATATACTTTGGAGCTCGAACCTTGAACATATATGCCCCCTGCACGGTTGTAGATGACGCAAGAAGCAATTTCAGGATTCGGATTCAGTGAAGCACCGACTCACTGATGTACGTCAAGTCTTTTCCAACAAGGTGGCTTTTACAGCCGTGAAGGGAGATGGACGCATCATTTGCTGGGGTGATGCAGAATGCGGGGGAGACTGTAGCGCAATCCATGAGGATTTGACAGAAATGGATGCCGCCCCTATTTTGACGATCTACTCCAGCCCGTATGCCTTTGCAGCCCAACGTGCGGATGGGTCTCTCTTAACTTGGGGGGATCCGGATTCTGGTGGCGACAGCACACGAGTCTGTGAAGCCCTACAAAGCAGCCGAGTGGAACGGGTCTTCTCTACGGATGACGCATTTGCTGCCATCAGCTCAGGAGAACGGCAGCTGATTACTTGGGGTGATCCTGCCTCAGGGGGCGACAGCAGCTCTGTGCGATCTTGCAGCTCCGTGGTCAATGTGGCTGCAACCAGAAGCTCGTTTGCTGCTCTCAAGCAGGATGGAACTGTAAGTTGCTGGGGTGACCCCTTGAGTGGTGGGAAGGCCGCACAAGAGGTACAAGATCAGCTGGTTGGAGTAACCAAGTTACAAGCCACCCGGGCAGCATTTGCTGCACTCAAGCAGGACGGTTCAGTAGTTTGCTGGGGCGATGCAAAGCATGGAGCAAATGTCAAGTCTGTTGCCAGCATCATCTCCTCTGGGGTGAAGGACATCTTTGCAAACAATGTGCCTTGAGCTACAGAGCCAATCACTTTAGAAGAAATGGGATGCGCAGGTCTGTCGCAACTGGTGTGCCTTAAGATGTCCCCAAGATGTCCAAGATGTCATGAGTCTTGAGATGTCTTGAGATGTTTTGAGCATCAAATGATTTCTGCGGAGAAGCCTATTGTGTGATCAACTCTTGGGATGGATCCACTGGATCCCTCTCCGAGGCTTCCTTTGTGGCTGTGAAGGACAACGGTGGCTTAGTTACTTGGGGAGATGAGAGTCAAGCGGCCTCCTCAGTGCTTCCTCGTGTTCCAGATGTGCAGAGACTCTTGGAAGATCTTGGAAGGGCAGGGTTGTGGGAATGGATTGGCATCCAATATCATTCAATAAGATCGAATCTGCTCACCACCAGCCGCATTTTTTTTCTATACCCGAATGTCGCATGTGCGGGTCCCAAACACTATAAAGGTGGTCGAAGATTTATCTTCGAGAAGCGGGCCCCTTGCCTATGTAAATCAATGCACTAGCAGAAACTGTTTCGAGTGTTTCGGAACACAAACAAGACTCAAGACATGCGGTAGTGACCCTGCCAGGTATTTCAACACTTTTGATGAATGCAGTTACATCTAGAGTCAACAATGAACCGACCAAGATGAGGGCCGCAACCAGAATACGGAATAATACTGCTTTCGGGAACAACGTTTTGACAAATGCCCACATACGTTCCCTTCACAAAATGAAGGTGGCTATTCCATTCTTAGCAAGTAGGTGAATAGAACGAAGATATTTTGTGCCCGAGTTTCGTTCGGCTTCTACTCAGGAATCTTCGCCACGAAGTTTGCCTTTGCGCTTCTGAGAAAGGATGGATCTGTTCTAGCTTGGGGTGACCCAACTGCGGGAGGTGACAGTACAGCCTTAGAGAAAGAGTTCGCGCAAGCATAATTGCGGCATTGAAAAAGAGAGGAATCGACTTGTAGATCAATCCAATGGAAGCCTGTCAGCAAAGTTTCACTGAGCGCCAATGATGCACTCCTAGGCATGCCAGGACAACAGATGG